CATTGTAATAACATTTTGTGAATTTATGAGGTCACTACACAGAACAAGTCTTTCTCCAATTCAAAAACTCACTATATGGTGAATAGAGAATGATTCTGGACACAGTCAGATTTCCTCAGTGTTGAACTCTAAACTGATCTTGTCTCTGTTTGAAGTAATTTGTTTTTATTTGGACACATCTGATTTAGTTTCTTTAAACACACCATCATATAAACATTTATTCTCCTCAGTTGAAATTATTATATCTTGACAGAAAACTAAATGAAATAAGTGAATGTTTCCTCTGTGTGTGTTTTGTGCAGTGGTTTGGTGACCTGGTGACTCCGGTCTGGTGGGAGGACGTCTGGTTGAAAGAAGGTTTCGCTCATTTCTTTGAGTACGTCGGGACCGACTTCCTCTTCCCAAAGTGGAACATGGTGAGTGATGCATTTCAAGCCATGTGTTCATCAGGCTCATTGATCTTCCCACTTGTCTTTCAACTGCGAACTCATACTTTCAATAACGATGACGTTCTATTTTTAGCTGCTTCAGGAGATTCTTTTCAGTTTGATGCTGAATAAAATATTAAATATTTTTATATTATTTTTAATATGTTAAGAAAATGAAAAAAGAAAAAGGGTCAGAACTATGATATTTTCATTTTTCTTTTTTCAAAGAAAGAAAAATGAAAAAAAAAAGAATCTAGGATTAAAGGTTCCCTTATGAGCTTTCACAGCTTTCAACCACTGGTGTCTTTTTAAGCCAATGGACTGAAGATCTCAAGTAAAACAGCCAAAAATGTATAATAACTGTGTGATGCAGAAAATCCTCTTATTTGATGATAGGAGTCTGATCTTTTATTCAAGACAAACAGGAAGTGAAGCTTTCCATCCAGCATGTTCAAGTGCATTCAGATAACCTGAAGTTCTGTCTGTTACCTCATGAAATTTAAATTTTCTCTCCTCTGATGGTTTCAGGTGAGTCAAAAATTTTCAGCTCAAGGCTCCAGTCAGTCAGAAACGAATTCGATTTTTTTTTTCCAAGAGTAAAACATTGAAAAATCTCCAGATACCAAAATGCAACACGGGTAGAAAACCAAAAACCTGATGTCAAAAAAAAAAAAAAAAACAGAATTTTGAAGAAGTAAAACAAACTGGAAATTAAATCAAACTTTAAACCTGGTTGATTTTTTTTTCTGTCAGTTCTGAAGTAGAGAACCTCTCTCTGGACCGTGTTCATTGGTGTTGGTTGTACTTTGGCAGAAAATAATTCCCAGAGGAAAGTGTTGACAGAGAGGTCTGAGGATTATCCAGAGGAAGTGGGACAGTTTTTGTGAACGCTTTGAGCAGCACAAATAAGACACCATTCAGCTCCATTGTATTGAGGTGGTGGCAAAATAAAACTGAGACTGTCTGCATCGTTAGATACGGCTACAGGGAAACAGAAAAATGTTATCTTTTAATAATTTGGTTCAACTGACAACTAAGCTCAAGTAGAAGTGGAGTAAGTTATCTCAGGTGTTAGAGAAGTAAAAAACAGTTACAGCTCAACTGTGTTAGAAGATATCTTTGATAAGATGTTAAAGGCACATAAAGAATTAAAGCTCCTCCAGTGTAAAGGTCTGTGTCCATGTGTAGTGTGATTATAGATCAGGTCTAGCTTCTATATTAATACTGTGAAAGTATCAAAGCCTCAGTCCACAGAGAAATGCACACAGCCTGTATTCAGAAACTGAGCCTTAAAACCAGCCGTCAGGACTTCTGGAACTTTGTGATGTCACAACAAAGCAGTCACCAAGCCCCGCCCACCTGGACCCACCATCCAAACCTTGCAGGATTTGGTTTCTCTGAGTGTTTTTACCTGAAATATATATATATGCTCCAAAATGGCTTTTCTAAAATAAAGCTGCACAACACAACACTTGTTAGTAATATATATTCATCACTGGTTTGGCTTTGGATGTACATTAATATAAAATATCATCAGTTGTAAAAAAGGTCAGCTGCGACTCCCAAGGAGCCTTTAGGTGAGAAATAACCTAATAACCAATTCAGTCCCTATGGCACCATGTTTTTGTTAACAACTACAATGATAAAGTGTTCTGAATTAGCTATAGCTGAGACTTCCACCTGTCCAGAGCAAACAGCAGCTGAGGATCATGGGTATTGTAGTATTTACAGCTGGCCATGTGGAAAAAACTGTATTTCTCAAAAAATGAAATAATGAACATAAACCTACAGGATTGTTTCAGGAGACTTTTTTCTTTATTGAGGAACAGTGAGGATGAAAAGAAACTCTCTGTTATTGTTGTCCTAAGAAAACCCTGTATCTCCAAATTGTGTAATCTGAAGTATGACCCTTTATTCATCTCTCAGGATAAATGAATAAATCAAAAACCACATGCATTGTTTAAAAAATGTCACACAGCTTAAAGCTTAAAACAAAAAGCTCATGAAAACCCGACGATTTTGGAGATGTGGGGTTTTCAAAAGGTCTCATTCAAACCTAATGGGAATGTCTGAAACAAATATTCCCCGCTACAGATCTGTTTCTACCAGCCCTCCTTATTTCTCTTTATTGCATAAAACATTACATAACTTATTATAGCGTTTGGATGAGCAGTGAGTGTGTAAGAAGAAGAAAGTTAAAACTGGCTTTTGAGGAGGAGGGAGTCCTGACTGCGAGGTCTCCTCCTGAACTCTTCCTGCTTCCTCCACTCGCACCGATCAATATCTGATTCCTACTTTTTTCTATAAGTGTTTTCCTGCAGTTCAGCAGATAATATTCAGTGAAGATCCACAGCCAGGGAAAATCCTGCTTTATTTTATTCTGCTCAGGTTGGCAAACAAAGTGAGTCAGCTCAAAACACAGTGAAATTAGAAATGAATTCGTGCTCAGATTTGCTCAAAAACTCCCAGACCTGCGATTCCTCAGATTCCCCCTGAAACTCAGTGAAAACTTCTCTGAAACAATGAATGCTGCACAACTTTAAATTACAGCACACACCTTCTCCTTGCTGCTCTGTTTCTGCCGATGTACGCCGTGATTTACTTCCAATAGAGAATGTGTTTACACCAAAACACCTTATCTTGGGCACGCACACACCGTCTGTTATACTGAGCGACATGGCATTTTTAAATCCCTGTTACTGTGGTTCTGCACGGCTGGACGCTTTAATAGAAACAAAGTGTTTCTCCAATAACAAGCACAATGATGATAAAGCGGTCTTTTCCTGATAAAGCAATTTATTTATAATACAGGTTTTTATTTAAAAAGCCATTTCCATCAGCAGCGAGTCGCAGCACTGCAGGGGGAAGAAGAAAACACAGAAAAACAATGAAACAAATAAAAATATGACAAGGGAGGAAATACCTCGTGGACTATTTCTGCATTATAACCAACCACTTTGCCAATCAGGGTTTATTATATTATTCTTTAACTGAACTGAAGTGGGATTTAGATGCTTCACTTTAAAACATAAATTAATGAGGTCAAACAAAATCACATCAGCTTCATACAGACATAAAGAAATAGCTGCAATGTTTACTACCATATAACACAAGTATTAAAGTCAGAATACAATATTAAAATGTAAAAAAAAAAGATGCATCAATTACAGCCAAAAAGAACCTTTGGCAGAAACAGCAATTTACTTGGATCTCGTCGTCTCTGATTGTGGTCCAGCTTGATCAAAGTCTTTCCCTTAATCATAAGTGCTTTAAAGTTAATGTAACCTCTCGAGGGCTCTACCCGACCAATTTATGTCTTTAGCAGAATTACACCACTTGGTTTGGAGGAGTGTAACACTAACCTGCCTCTCTTATGTTATCAAAGGCCAAATTTAGTGTCTGTTTCTTTTCCGTCATTGTGTTCACATGATTTTCAAAACTGCTGCAAATTCTTTCTGCAAGCATTTTAATTTTAAACCAGAAATACCAATGCAATGTGTTTTTTGTTAGATGCCTGTAGATTAGACCAGCGGCTCCAAACTTTTTCCAACTCTTGGCCCATTGGAAAATCTCAAAAATGTTGGTGGCCCACATTGGACCTCATTACAACACAAGTATACGATGTGGTCCAGCGGCAAAGTGGTCGAGCCGACAACATCTTAAAAGTTCCTATCATTGGCTTATCATAGTGATAATCCATCATTAGAAAATAACTATGAAATTAGTTTATAAAGTTTTAATGCTATTAAATATAATTTTTGGACATTTTTAAGACATTTAAAAACGTTTTTTTCAAAATTATAAAAAACGAGGTATTACACTTAAATATCAATATAAACAATTCCACATATCAAACACAGGGAACTACTGTAGAAACAAAGGGCTGCCTCAAATAAACCTGTTAACTTCTCCAGTTGAGGCCCCCGTCACTGGAAATACAGCATTTGAAAACTGTTGTTGATCTGCTGTAAATGGGAAAAGTCCAACAAATGGTGTAATAACTTCATCAGTGAACTCTATCACTCACTCACTCAGTCACGGACATCTGCAGATGTAACACTGGCCCGTGGCTCGTCCAGACAAAAACAGTCATCAAATACTGGTCGTGGGTGTTATTCCCCCAATGGCCACAAGCGGAGCCCATTCCACAAAAAAAGCAACTCAAAGGACGGATTCATGCTTGATTAGAAGTTTGTTTTAAAAATAGCATTTTACAGGGATGAAGACTAAATGGTTGGTTTGGTGCCTCTTGGAGCTTTTTGCTTGGACTTCCTGGAGCTGTCTCCCACACAGTGGATGAGACTGTCTATCTGTTTATCTGCGCTGAATTCAAAGAGGGAAAAAGAAAAGTAGAAGTAGAAAAAACACAGGTCAGGGGAAAATGTCTAGCAGGAGATAACGGATGTGAAACGAATGGACCTCCAATCGAAAATATGAAATATTCATGTTAAAGAGAGCTGAGGACAACCAATATTCATCTTCTCCTTCCTTCTTATAAATGGACACTTACCCAATAAGTAAAGAGGCTGTATTAATTACACTCCATTTTCACAAGTGTGTTTGCAGTCCGTTTATCTCAAGGCTGGTTCCACCCGAGGGTTAAATGGAAATAGATAAAATTCAAATAATGTAATCTGAGAGCAGTTTATGGAAAAAATAACTAGTTTTAGGCAAACCTAGTAAATTTAACACCTGACTGATCAACAGCAAACTAATGCAAAAGAAAAAAAAATCCTGTTAAAGTTGTTTTTCTCTATTGTACATTTCTATTTTGTCACTATCTACATCTCCAAAACTTCAGACGTCCTGTTTTAAACTTTAAGCTTTGTGACACTTTCAAACAATCCAAGTGGGTTTTGAGTTCTGTATTTATCCACAAGGGAATTGAGAATTCATGCCAAGTTTTTAAATGACACTGAGATGAGGAAGAAGATGGAGGGAGAAGAGGAAGGAGAGGAAAATAGAGCGGAAGTGAAGCAGGATGGAGGGCAGAGACGGGTTCAGCAGCTGCTCCTGAACGCAGCCCTGTCTCTCCATCTGTGTGTGTTTGTGGATACACTGACTGTTGGCCTATTAGTCAACCCTCCACATGTGGGTCCATCTGGTTCATAATGACCATATGGTCCAGGTGGACCCCCCTCTGTGTCTCTCTGCAGGTGATTTAAAGTCTTTGTTAATTAGAGCTGATGTCTCATTTAGTCTGATTTTTTTGTTTGTCTCACTGAGTAATGTTGGCTTAATCCAAATGTGCCATTTAACTAATTAACTGATTGTATAATTTTTTGGCGAGGTCCCCTGATTCAGCTTCTTCGTGCGTGTGTGTGTGTGTGTGTGTGTGTGTGTGTGTGTGTTTCTGTTGACTGATGAAAACAATAGTTTATTTTTACCCAGGTATTAGCCAGATCCTTTGAAGAAGGATCAGTCTAGCTCTTGTATAAACAAACTGTTTATCTGTTGAGTTAAAGTAGAGGTCATTTACACCTGAGATTAAATAAAACTTTAACACCTTCACACCAGATATAAGACAGGTTCACTACCATTGATTGTACAGAAATCCATATTACAGATTTAAAATGTTCTCACTCAGCCATTTCTGTTTCAGTAATTCAGAATAAAATCACATCTACCAAGAAATAGATTGATCCCATTCTGTAAAATCAAAATGTTTCTGTTGCTTCTAACGTTAATTAATTATTATCTTGAGAAACTTTTGTTTAAATAGATGTAGATTCATTAAAACCATATCTACTTAATAAACAACTTTAATCCATGTATTACACACAGCCACATTGGACCAGGAATTACCCATATCCCAGCAGATACTGTTAATTTAAAAAAAAAAAAAAGGTTCCTGTTCATTCAGTTCATTAACGACTAAAACTTAATAAGCCACCAATTCCATTGCCTAACAAGATGGAGGTTCATTAAAACTAAATCTCCATAGTAAACACTGTAATCCATGAATTAAACAGAGCCACACTTCTCCGGATTTAGCCTGATCCCTGGGGTAATTTAGACAGAGCTCGTTACAGCTCAACATGTTTGTAGATGTCTATTAAAACCCTGAAACCAGAAGAGCAGAGGAAGAGAAGAGAAGAAACGAGAGAGAGAAAGACAGAAAACATAGAACCGATGCAATGAGACAAAGAATGAGGGAAGGAATTAAGGAGACGGAACAAGGAGATAAAACAAGGAGAAGATTTAATGAGGGAAACTACAGGATGAAACTGGGCTAAGGCAAAGAATGGAAGAATGAAGAGTGGAAAGAAGATGATGAAGCAATAAGAGAAATTACAAGGAGAGTAAATGGATGACAAAAAATTACAATCACAGATTAAACAGACAAATTAGAAAACTAAACCTTTATTTACTGATCCGACTGTTCAATTAAATCAGAATTTGTTTATTGACTTTGTTTTCAAAACTTAATTATTTAACTGGATTCTGTTGAATGCTGAACAGGAAGAAAACAAACTCTGGATTCCAAAAATCACACACTTACATTATAGGGACCCAACGACTTATATCCACATTATGAGGACCTAACCTTATGTACTTACATTATAGGGACCTGACCTTATGTACTTACATTATAGGGACCTAATCCTATGTACTTACATTATAGGGACCTGACCTTATGTACTTACATTATAGGGACCTAATCCTATGTACTTACATTATAGGGACCTGACCTTATGTACTTACATTATAGGGACCTAATCCTATGTACTTACATTATAGGGACCTGACCTTATGTACTTACATTATAGGGACCTAATCCTATGTACTTACATTATAGGGACCTGACCTTATGTACTTACATTATAGGGACCTAATCCTATGTACTTACATTATAGGGACCTGACCTTATGTACTTACATTATAGGGACCTAATCCTATGTACTTACATTATAGGGACCTGACCTTATGTACTTACATTATAGGGACCTAATCCTATGTACTTACATTATAGGGACCTGACCTTATGTACTTACATTATAGGGACCTAATCCTATGTACTTACATTATAGGGCCCTGACCTTATGCACTTACATTATAGGGACCTAACCCTATGTACTTACATTATGAGGACCTGACCTTATGTACTGACATTATAGGGACCTGACCTCATGTACTTACTTTACCTACTAACGAACACCTGGTTCCATCTGGTGAAGATGTGTTTTTCATGGTTAGAGTAAGGTTCAAGATTGGTTAAGGGTCGGTTGTAGAGGTAGTGGTTGATGGTCATGGTCAGCCTCCAGAGAATGTGCAGTGTCTCCATTAGTGACCAAAAAACACCTGTTTGTGTTTTTAGGAGAAGCAACGCTTCCTGACTGACGTCCTCCATGAGGTGATGCTATTGGACGGCCTAAGCTCCTCCCACCCGATCTCCCAGGAGGTGGAACAAGCGACGGACATCAACCGAGTCTTCGACTGGATCGCCTACAAGAAGGTAAGCACCTGTTCATGCCAGGACATTAATGTACCCACATGAATTCATTAATCCCATGAAAGACAGTGCTCTCAGTGACATGATGACTGCTTGATGACGAGGTTTTGATCTTCTGTGGCTGAGCAACACGTTAGTATTGATCCTACGAAAACACGTCAGCTCGCTCTGGCCTATTGAGCATTAGCTCCCCTGATCCTACAGCAGTAGTCCCTGAGAAACCCAGGGGCTCTGTTGTTATAGATATTCTGACTCACGCTGAGATGTAGTCATCCCTCAGAGGCAGCCACCTGAGATGGTGGAATAGCTGTTTACTCATGTGTGCTCTTGAGTTTCAATCCAACACAGCTCTGTCTGTAGTTTCATTTGAAGTGTTTTTCCCCAGACGAACAGATTCAGGAGTCAAAACAACTCGCAACAAGAGAGTTTGCCAGCGATCTCAAAGTCTTTATCAGTCAAAGTAGCTTTTTTAACCAAGAAAAACACTGGTTCTAGCCAGCAGCAATGATCGACCAAGATAGCTAGTCAAGCCAGCTCGGTCGTAAGCACAATTTATTCAATGGATGTATTTGTACCATCAACTCCTGTCTCATAACTGTCCACATGCCAGATGTGTCCTCAATCAAACAGAGTAGGGTTATACAGAACTGTGAAGTGAGATTCAGCTGATTTGATCACCATATTCCCTCAAATGTTGATGTTCTCACCTGCTGATGAATCTCAACGTGTGCTTCTCCATGCTGTCTGCAGGGGGCAGCGCTGATCCGGATGCTGGCTAACGTGATGGGACAGCCGCTGTTCCAGAAAGGTCTCAACGTAAGTTCGTGTTTTTCCTGCGGGTCCAGCTGTGTATACAGAGGTTTATATATCTGAGGACAGCAGGGGCAGCTGGCTTTTGGTTTTTTAAAATTTGTCCCAAGCACAATATGGAAGGAGTCAGGCCGAGGCTGGGAGCTTAATGTGTGTGTGTGTGTGCTTCGCCATAGTTTGGCTAAACCCTGACTGTTTGGAACGCGCTGAGCATACAGATGGGCAGCAAATAAGTGGATTTGGCTGCAGGGGCAGTTTGAGAGGAAGTTTTGCTTCTTTTTCTCTGCTGTAAAACCATGTCACTGGTTACAACTCAATCCAATGCAACTGACCTGAATTCAACTAGAATAAAGCTGCAGGTCCTGTAAAAAAAAAAAGGGGGGGAAAAAAAGGACCAAATGCAAACTTTTTAGAGCAATTTCTAAACCTACAGAGGTTAAATTTGTAATATTAAAATGATTGATTTTGGGTATCCAGGACGGAAGCCAACTTTCAAAGCCTTCTCCATGTTGCCAGAAATGTAAAAGATAAAATATACTCCATAAAAAATCTATAGAATCCTGCCCCTTGCCTCAAAAGAAACACCAAGTCAGTAGTAGTTACATGTGTGTGTGCAGTGTGACAGCAGCCAAACATGAAATAATAAAACCTCAGTTTAATGAGGCACCATAAGTTTCTGTTTGTTTTTACTTCTCCTACAGTTTGTTCAGGGACAAGTTCAAAGAAAAGATTCAATAAATTGATCTGTGGTGGCGAAGGGCGGCGCTGGCTGCTGTACAAAGTGATGAAACATGGATCAGAGTGAGGGACAAGAACTCTTTCATACAACTCCCAGCGTCGTCTGTTAACGGCTCCATGATAATTGAATATTGAAAGTGTTTCAAGTTTCACTCACAAATTAGTTTTTATTGACTTCACCCACTTACAGCACACAGTAGTTAACATTAGTGGTGTTAATGACTGTGTTGCATTATTTATCACTAAGCTGTTGTGTGGCTGCTAACTGGCTCTCTGATGGTTCACACTGGTTAATGTTAACGACTCAGAAACATCAGGGGAGCGAAAAGTGAAGATGAACTTGGTGATGTTAAAGCTCCTCCAGTGTAAAGGTCTGTGTCCATGTGTAGTTTGATTATAGATCAGCTCTAGCTTCTATATTAATACTGTGAAAGTATCAAAGCCTCAGTCCACAGAGAAATGCACACAGCCTGTATTCAGAAACTGAGCCTTAAAACCAGCCGTCAGGACTTCTGGAACTTTGTGATGTCACAACAACCCCTGACCTAGTGGCGTTCCTAGAGTCCGGTGAGGTCCCAGACAAAAGATTGGCATGGGGCCCCTCCAATCAGCATTCATCACCATTCTGTAATAAATAATCTGACACCAGTGCAAAATTTACGAAATATAAACATTTTTTTTATTCCAAATGTTCATTTTAGTTACATTTTTTAAATATGAATATGAAGAGAAAAAAAAAAGTTCAGTTGGACAAATACGTGAATGAGCGACCTAACGACCAATCACCAATCCACGTCGTGTTTATTCTAAATGGGGCCCCTTTAGGGGGGTCTCCTACTGAGATGTCATTGCAAATCATCCATTAGTTGTTTAAGGAGGTTTAAAGTTTAAGTTTTTCTGAGTGTTTTGTCTGAAATCTGCTGTATTTTTATTGGATCACTCAGAGAACAGTCAGCCAATCAGAAGAGAGGCTGATTCTGATTGGCTCACCGACATGTTGTTACTAGAGCTGCAGAGAGAAGCCTGAGAGAGGAGATGTGAAACTACACTGAGATGGTTTTTGGTTCTTAAAACCACAAATACATCTTCTTATGGATCAACACTTCAAAATAAAAGACAGAAGAAGAAGAAAATATTGGACCTTTTTAAAAGTTTTTTTTTCCAGCAACAAAACATTTTTTTTTATCCACAAAACTGCAAGAGTTCATTTTTCAGTGACTGTGAAAATAATGTCATATGATGTCAGGTGAAAGTGGGTTAAATATAATAGTTTTATTCTGAATACAGTTGTGAAAAATGTGTATGAATGTGCCACTCATACTCTCACACACATCGGCACACTGTGTCCTGGTTTTTCCTGCAGGAACTCTCGGTGACCTGGAACACACTGAGAACCAGATTCTATATAGAAACACTGCTGATCCAGCAGCAGAACACACAGACTATACCTGTGAGTGTGTGTCTATATACAACATGCTGAACGTTACAACAACACACAACCTGATAAAAACAGTCCTCAGCTGCATGAAAAAAATATTTTCTCTTCATATAAAAGAGACTTTCACAGACGTAAACTCATTCCCAGGGAAGCTTTACGCTCTAATCAGATGTTTAGAGAAAAATATGACACCGAAAAAAACCACACAAAACCGACTTCAGCGACACTCGGAGGAGTCTCATTCTGACAATTTGCGGTGTGACAGGTGCCTCAGCCCAAATAATCTAGCCTCGACTCGACTCCATGAAGGTTTTCATTGCATCTGCAGCATCGTCTCTCTCACTCCTCTGACAGTCTGTGGTTTTACATGCTTGTGTTTTTAAAACGGCTCAGATTCAGTTTAGTAGCTAAAGACCTCACGTGGATTTAACAAAGTGTTGCTCTCAGTTTTAGTGGTTTTCAAAATGCTTCTTCGTCAAATTGCTGTTATTTTTAATTTGTCTTTAAAAGCTTTAAACCTAAAGTTGTGTGTAATTTCTATTTTAATATCATTCATTTTAAATGCAGGAAATAGAGTTCACTTGTATTCTATAAGATAAACAGTTTTGCCATTTTGAACTTCCATACATGAATTATATGTACATATAAAATAAAAACACATATATTGATATATGAGTCCCGCCCATACAAATATGTACATAATATATATCCATCTCAAGGTCTGTCAATACATGATATTATATATATGATACTAATATTTTATACAGGGTCCAAATGTCTGAGATATACATATTTAAAATTAATAAGAAATGAATAATAAGTAATAAATGTTTTTATTAACTTACATATATAAATTAAATATTTATTGTTAACATATATCCTCGCAACATGTTTTACCTCGTAAAAATGAATCATATAGTTTTAATTACATTCATATACAACTTTTACAACGAGTATTTCACGTATGTTGTATCTTCATATATCCAGAGGATGTAAATGTGATAATAATATATCACCTCACATGTGACATATATGTCATATATTCAGTTTCTGTATGGAGAGGAACCAACACAATAAAATAAATGAACACGTTAGAAACACACCGAGGAAGCAGGAAGTGTTTGTTGTGTTGACAGAGGATGAAGGTCGAGGTTCCCATCATCCTCGTCAGTATCGCTCTCCGAACCTGAAACCTGTGTGAGTGTGTGTGTGTGTGTGTGTGGTGTTTTATCTCTGTTCATGTCAGCTTTAGCCAAGGTGACAGATTCTAACTTATCAAAGCAACACACACACACACACACTCACACTCACAGTTTGTTGTTATCATGTGTGTCATCTTGTTCCAATGAAGAGCTTCTTCTTTGCCTTATCATCCTCCATACACACGACGACAACTGAATGAGGAACACACACACACACACACACACACACACACAGGACAGGGGAAAGCTCCCCTCTCTCTTGTAGCAGCAGATTAGAGCTCTTTCTCTGCAGGTGTTCTGTGTTATCTCGTGCTACTTTCCTGCCTTTTTCTTGTTTTATTACAAACTGAAACATCCACCCGCCTCCCTCGGCTTCCACGCTTCCCGACTCTCTGCGGTGGGAATGAGTTTTTCCTCCTGATACCGGAGACAGACAGAGATCAAACCAGACACAACTGTCACCGACGAATTACAGGTTGTGAAGGGAGCCACCACACCACTAAGCCCCTTTTGAACTGGGAGATTCTCTCCAGAAGCTTCTTTCTGACTCTTCGCTTTGTTCATTACTTTAGAAAATATAACGTGGAGTTTTGAAGCCGGAGCGGGGATCGAGTCCAAAGCCCTTCAGAGTCGACACAGGAGCTAACCCCGACCCTGCTGCTGCTCGTGTCACTGAGACTTCATGTTCGTTCTTCAAACAACAGTTACACACTGTTTCTTTTCAGGTTCACATTCATTGTTATGTCTTAGTTTTACAGATTAAAGCTCCATATTTTCCGCTTTTATTTTGAAGTGTTGATCCATCAGAAGATATAAAAACCATCTCAGTGTAGTTTTACATCTCCTCTCTCAGGCTTCTCTCTGGAGCTCTAGTAACAACAGGTCGGTGAGCCAATCAGAAGAGAGGCTCAGAGCCTCCTCTCTTCTGATTGGCTGACTGTTTTCTGACTGATCCAATAAAAATATAGAGAAACCAAATCCTGCAAGGTTTGGATGGTGGGTCCAGGTGGGCGGGGCTTGGTGACTGCTTTGTTGTGACATCACAAAGTTCCAGAAGTCCTGACGGCTGGTTTTAAGGCTCAGTTTCTGAATACAGGCTGTGTGCATTTCTCTGTGGACTGAGGCTTTGATACTTTCACAGTATTAATATAGAAGCTAGACCTGATCTATAATCACACTACACTTGCTTCCTTCACCTCTCTGCCAGCCTGGGTGATGATTGGCCCGAAGTCACATGACCACATGCCCAAAACATCTTTGTAGCAGCCTCATTGGCTGGTGTGTATATTTTGTGTGTGGTGTGTTTGTGTGCTGACCCTGATGAAGACCAGAGGCTGAGAGTCGTTGCTCCAACAATAAGTAACGATGCTTTTATTCATATTTAAAGCACAAGATGTAAAATCTTAATCAGTGACTAAAACTAAAACTCGTTCATGGACCTCGACATGAAAATTTAATCTCAGCTTCATTTGGCTTCTTCCAAGATACAAGTAGTCACAGAACTGGGCGCTGTTCAGGTGCAATGCATGATGGTAGTTGGTGAGGAAAGTCAAGATGTGTTGGACACAGCTACCTGGTGATGTCATTTCCTGTCACATGGTGTGTTTCAGCTGTTTTCTGTTGATTTCAGGATTATCTGCTGAGTCACATGTACAGCAACGCAGCCAGAGACGACCTGTGGAGCAAACTGTCTCAGGTAACTATTACCCTCCCCCTTCCTCCTCCTCCTCCTCCCGCCTCTCACCCTGCGGTGTTGCTGCCTTGCTCCACAGCGGGGATTGAAACCTGTAACTCCTCCTCGTCTGGCTCTGCAGGGAGCAAACAGCCAGACTGACTGAGGCTGTTAATTATTTAACGAAGCTGTCTCTAATGAAGACCGGAGAGACGCCCGCGAAGACTCGGCTTGATGAGACACAGACGGTGAAAGTCTTGTTGCCGTGGTAACGCGACTGACAGGTGGAGGCGAGGCTTGTTTGCCTGTTTGTCCTACACACAGGAAGCTTCCTCTTCAATTAGATTCATCTTCGTTACTGAGACTGATCTGTAATTAGCCTCCAGCTAATCAGATTTTTAATTACCTGAAGTCGGTAATCGTCCTCTAATCAACTGATTTTGGCCTAAATATCAATGAAGCTTCTACAAGGTTATTGATGAGTTATTAGGATTGATAATGAGCTCATTAGTACTGTAAATAATCACTGATTAATTAGTGTAAATTGGTCGTTATTGATTATTGATTACTCATATTTCGTGTGTCATGTGCAGGCCATGCGTTCAGAGGGGCGGGACATCAACATTGGAGAGATGATGGACAGGTGGACTCTACAAATGGGCTACCCTGTCGTCACCATCAGCAAGAACCAATCAGAGCAGCTCCCTACTCATTACATCACTGTCAGCCAGGAGCACTTCCTGTACGCACAGGAAGTCAGGAGCAACAACAGGTTAGTATCAAACTGATGAAGATGTTTCCTGGAGTTGTTCCTGTTTTGTATATTTGTATCTGTTTTGTTAAATTGAGCCGGTGGATTCAGGATGTAACTGGAGACAGAAGGCCGGGTCCCAGCTCTTCCTCCTCCTCCTCCTCCTCCTCCTCCTCCTTCTTCTTCTTCTTCTTCTTCCGCTCAGGAATCAGAGCTTTAGTGAAGTTTATAGGAATATGAAGCCGTGCTGTCAGAGGACGACCCCTGACCCTTTGGTTTGCTGCAGCCCTCAGGACAAACTTAACATTTTGGCCCCCGCTGATCGTCAGGCTTGATGAACACTTCCTCTGAACATCGCAGCCTCCTGGGACGAGAGCCGGACTTCGGTCCGTTAGTTTTGTTTCGTCGTCAGTTCTTCGCAGCTGAGAGGATCCTCCTGGAGACTCTTTGTCTCACGCCTCACTGAGCTTTAAGTTTGTCCTCTCAGTGATCGCGCTGAAGAAGCACTTCTCCGGCGTTTCTTCACATTCTTTACCACCTTTACATCATTTATATTTCATTTATATTTGATTCGCACAATGTTTTATTCACATGCTTCACAACCTCTGGAGTTTATTCTCTTCGCTGTTTTATCGACCCACTTTTTCCTCCATCAATATTTCATCACCTTCTTTCCTTTTTTTTTCTTTCTTTTTTTTTATTTTTACCTGTTGTTCACTTCTTATCTTTCCTCCTTTCTTTCTGTCTGTCATGTTTTTCTACTGTAACTGACATTTACATTCAGTCTGACCTACTCAGCTCCTCACCAAAAGTTTCTTTACCTGTTTTGTTTTTGTCTTCCTCTCTTCGTCTCTTCTTCTTTCATCTTTCTGTGTTTCGCTTGAGCTCCTCTGCGCACAGTCGCTCCCGAGGTCTTGTCAGCTGATGAACTGAAGCTGTTTGTTGTAGGTGAAGTCGAACGCTTCTTTCTTTTTTTTTTTTTTTGCTCTTGTTTTGGTCCCACGGGGCTGCGTTCAGACACGCTCGCTGGTCCCGAGGCGTTCGCCAAAAAACAAAAAACTGTTGTGCTTTTAGCAGAAACCGCCGTCACGGCTGAGCGGCAGCGGCAGCGAATTGAATCAGAGGCAGACGCTGATGTTTGATCCCATGGAGCTGCGTTCAGAAGCACAGCAGTGTCCCAGTGTTACACGCTGTTGACTTAAACTACTGGAAAACACAGGATTCTTAGAAATACACGGAAATATACAGGAATAAACTGAAATACCAGTGAACAACCAGTTCTATCTGAGGCGTGTCGACACTTCAGCTGTTGTTGTCGGCCGACGTGCGAGCGGCTCAGTCCGAAATCCTTGAATAAGTGGTTGAATGACTCACAGCTACGTGCCTCTCTGCAGGAAAAATACAACGTCCTTCAGCCTCTATGGTTTTGTTGTGAAGGACGTTGTTGCTTTTTGTCAAGCAGTTACTGCACCGGCTGTAGATACTGTGCGTCCAAGGCTTTTGATACTGTCGAGTATAAACATACAACTACTGCTCTCAGACAGAGAGGGAGGTACGGAAGCCTTGAGGGACGAGTGAGAAACGTCAATGAATATAACAGGATCAAAAACCCCCCGGCCCTTTATACGGTCTAATCTGACGTCCTGTAGCTTCTCTAGCTGAAACATTTTGCCGGAGAAACAGAGGAAAGACTTGACAGTAACAAGTCTTGTGTATACATAAACACTTGTTTTCTATCTGAGCAGTGTTTACTCTTACGCTGATGACAACATGTTGTACATCAGGTTACAGTCTACCTTTAACAACCTCCAGACGTCTTTTAATAAAACAAAGTCCTCATCCCCAGCTGATGTTGACTGTCGTGACATCTGAGGTCATTTATCTGACTTGACGCAGCGCCCCCTCTGGTGACCCACACATACAAAATATGAGTTCAACCTTAAATTTAAAGCTTGTTGTAACCTACAGAATGTTCGAAATGTTTGATGTTCTCGATCTAACGGATACGGTCCAGCATTGTTAGTTGAAGACAGAACCCTCCGCACTACCTAATTATAGATAGAGATATCCTGTTTGCTCAAACTGCTGCTGCCACGTAAACATCTGGACTCTTCACCAGATGTGCCGTTTGTTTGAGTCATTACTGCAGTTAGCTGCTGCGCTCATCTAAGGAGCTAATAACCATGACAACAGATCAGAGAGGAGGTTTCGTTTTAACTGGGGGAGGACTGGTTTCCAGTAGCATGCACGTCAGAGATCTTGACCTCAGTGCGACTTCCTGAAGCTTAAACTCACTGCCAAACTATTCCTGAGAGCCAATCAACTGTCTCTAAGTTTGTGACAGCCAATCACTTGTTAGTAGGTGCCTGACAAAGAGTCACAACTCTCTCAAAGAAAAAGTTGGAAAAGAAGCTTTTTACTCAAATAATAAGGAACTTTTCTAACTTGTTGTTGACTTTACAGTGTTAAGGTGACATTTTAAAGAACATAGCTTATTTATTTTTCTGTCAGACATTTTACATTCATCTCCTCTTCCACATCCCCGGCTGTTTGAGACCTTTCAAATTTGTGTCTTTTATTTTCCCACCATCAAACAGCCGACACAGCGAGGGGAAGACACGCTTTTTAAAGAACTGAGCCGACACAGAGCGAGACAAGGAGAAACCAGAGGACGGCGCGAGCTAACGATAAGGTCGAGCTAATGATACTGAAAATAAATCAAACAGGATCTCAGTCTGAAACACGGCTCGTCTCTGTGATAGCGGAACAGATGCTCCGTCAGCTGACAGGTAAACAGAGACGTGATTGGAGGAAGAGCGGCTTCCTGTTTGATTTAATGAGCTTTAAAGCTAAACGGGACAGTGATAAATTATTGATGACTCCACCTGGGAACAGTTGAAAGGAAGTAAAGTTTATTTATATACGGCTTCACCTTTCTGCAGCAGATCACAGAAATCAAAAATAGAATAATAATTAAATACGTAACAAATATAAATAAAACAGATACAAACATAATAAGAGAAGAAAAAATAAATGAATAAAATAAGAAAAAAACACATGAAACATATAATAATATATATTAATTCATTCAGTGTCACTTACACTTCCAATCATATCATTATCTCATGATTAAACTTTTATATCACAGAAAAAAGACCATTCAGAACTTGCTTTAGAATTTCTTCAGTATGACAGTGAAAGGCGTCTGTACATACGGCACATGTGAACACTGCAAACAGGAAGTCATGATGGATCATTTGGCATATTTTTTAATGTTGCTTGGTTCTGAAATAGACCTGTATGTTAGTGTTATTATTAGTAGCATGTTTCCTTGTGTTAGATCAGAGGAAACATCTTCAACTTCCTCCATTTTCACACAGACGCCCACATTTACATCGAGCTGGTAAAAAACTAAAAAAGTTTAAATACAAAGATGGGATTTAAATCATAGAAGGACCAGAGAGTTCAGAGGAAACCAGTCAGTGATTAGTGGCTGTGATTATTAGTGCGGTGGGAGGGAGAGTTACTCAGGTAGCTGCTGCTGTCAGGAGGAAAATCACAGACCAGAGCAGCTGATATTAAAATCAAACCGTCTCCCAAAAGAGAAGCGGAGCGTCGAGCGCCGATCGTCATTCTCCACCCTGCGTGTCTGTGGGGTCCGGTCATCACCTGGCTCTTCTCAGGGATTCTGATCGTAGGTCGGGGTGGGGGGT